ATCTCTGAGGTTGGCATAACCCCTGAAGCAGAGGACTGTAAGATTCTCTCTTGTTTTCCCTTTAGTGGAAGTGGCAAGTTGAAACAGTTGCTGTAGCTTCTCCTTGGTGAAAGCTTCTCGTGCTTGGTGTAGCTTCTCGTGGTGCCCCATCAATCCTCTGTGCTCCATCTGCTGCCCAGGGGTAGGGGCCTTCACGCCTGCGGGGTCGGGATGCTGCCAAAACTGCTCATTTAGTAGGTAGTAAAACTTCTGCTGTTCCTGATGTCGAGCTGCTGCACAGAACCTGTAGGTGCAGTTTCGTGGTGATCCTCAGCAAGAACTGCAGGAATCCTATTCAGAGATGGAATCCTTTACCTGAGAGGCTGTTCTCGCCTCTTCCCCCATACTGTCAGTAAGCCCCCTCCAAAGGGGGGCTGCATGGAAACGAACTGCTTTTTTCTGCATTTCATTGGACTGCCTTAACTCTCTGTCCCAGTACTCTGTGTGGTCAGACGAGCACCAGTTTGAGAAGGGAAGGGAGCTAGGAGGGAGTACCATTGAACTGTTTTGGTGTGCAGGCCTGTTCAAAATTGCAGAGGTCTGTCAGCCCGTTCCACTCAGCGGGAAAGCTGTACAGACATTTGTCTGTCTCAGTCCCCTGGCTATCGCTTTGGAAGCAGCACAGGAGCTGTTAGCCCTGCCTTAGGGCTGCTGGGGCTCCCCTGAGCTTGGTGTTGATGGCCTGTGGCCGCAAGCCCATGGCTGACCTGCAGCATGCACTGGGGAACATGTCCTCTGCCCACAGCTGCACCAGGGACCAAGGTGCTCGCCGCTGTGCAGTCACCTATAATTCTGCTGCTTGGCTTTGGAGACTGAGTCCAGAGAGGGGAAGGTAACTGCTGAGGCTGTTTGCCAAGCCAGATATCAAATCTGGTGAGGAATCAGGACTTGAGGTTAACTGCCAGCAATTATCTCTGAGTGATTCTTTAGTGTCTTGTTTTCAATTGAAAAAAAGGAAAAATGAGGTCTCACAGTGCTGGCTCCTATGGCCTTGCAATTCAAGGGAAGTAGCAGCTCTCATCTTTGTGAGTTCAGCCTCTTGCTACTAAACCCCAAAGTTTTTGTGACAGCTGATGTAATGAGGAGACTGAAATACAAACCTCTGGTGTTCCAAGCTCCCGTTCGGGATGCAGACTCCTGAAAGCACTTCCTTGCTTTGCTAAGGAAAGCGTTTCAAAAAGGGATGCGCTTTAGTCATCAAACCCTTCTGCCTGTTTCTGTCAGCAGTGAGTTGTTCCTTAGCCGCTCCTTCCCGTAGCCCTTTCTGGCCACTTTGTGTTCATCCTGCCAGCAGATGTTGTCCCCCAGCACCCAGCAGCCTGGCCAGGCAAGGAGAGCCATGTGTTTGGGATGAAGGAGGAAGATTTTCATCACCAGGAGTCAGAAATAAGCTTCTCGTGTGTGGTCGATAATACGTAGCACGCGTGGTTTAGTAAGATGAGCTTCCAGCTCTCTCTGCAGGAGAAAGGGACGCATACCTTTCATTAACTTCTGCAGATTTCTACGATCTGATAGGAGACGGGAAAGAAATTTAATTTCTACAGCCAAGTCTCTGTGTGTTACTTTCTCATGTGTTGCTGATGACGGAAAGCTTGGGCGGGTGCCGTGCTGTCAGACTGGATTACCCAGCACTCGCTGTCAGGAGTCACACTCCATGCTTGCAAGCGCGGCTTTCCTTTTTCCTGAAGGACTGCAGGTTTGTGTGGGTACAAACAGTGGTGGCATGGGCACAAGTCCTCTGCTATTCAGATTTGTGTGTGCAGAGCACTGTGAAATTTGTACTTGTAATGTTATCTCTTAAGAGTAGAGTAAATCCTACTAAAGCAAGTAGTGTAAATTACACCGGCTGTACTTCAGATAAGTCTCCCTACTGTTGTGTGCAATTAGACAGAGCTTTTTAGAGGATTAATAGTTCTTATATTATAAGAGATTGGACTGTGGTAGGAAATGAGGCTTCCACTGAAAATTTTCTTTAAGCATCCAAATGCAAAGATCCCTTATTAAAATGTATCTAGCTGTTTAGCTTTTCTTAGCAGAAGGTTCATAGGTCGTAGAAACAAGTGCTGTATGAAATTTCAAACCCAATGGCCACCTGCTTTTAAAGAAAAACAGAAGTAGTAGCTCATTTCAGAAAGCAACAAGTTATTTAACTTCTGTGTTGTGCTGTCATTATATGCCTCTGCTCATTTGCATCCATCTGTATGCTATACTGTTTGGATTATTCTTTTGTTAATTTTATTTTGAGCTGCAGAAGCCAGCACGGGCACCTTAGGATTTCATTGGCTTGCTTTCTGGACACTTTTTTTCTGAGAAAAGATGGTCATACCAAGACTGAATAACCCTCTCTGTGTTCAGATCTGTCGGACAGTGAGCATTGCCTTGCATTTTAGCTTTGCTTCCTTGCCTCTGCCTCACTTCACTTTGCTTTTTAGGCCCCCCTTTCCTCTTCACGTTGTTCACTGTTTTGTTTCATTTTTTTTAACCAACTTGTCATCTGCCAAATAAAGAGTACGGAAGAGATTGTTTCCTTATAATTGTTCCTTATCCACCTATAATTTGCTTTCCCTTCCTTACTCTATTTTGCGCCTATCTCCTGATCTTCTCACCTTCGTCCCTATCCCTCCTCCCTTCACAGTCTTTGGTTTTGGAAAGAGCTGGGAAATGTGGTTGTATGCCAGACGGGCTTGGTTATTACTTACATAGGGAAACTTCATCCTGTCCAACAAGTAAGCTATTCGTAGCCTTGAGGGATATATCTAAAGGGCACAGAGTTTCCACTCAAAATTTAAGTAGATTAGATTGTGTGTACATATTTGTTGTGACTTGGCAGGTGTCCCAGTGCCTGAGGTCTTAGAACATATACTTTGCTATACTCGAGGCAAGCTGAACTGCATGTTTCAAGAGACGTTCTGGAGCAGTGGGAGGCTGCAAGGAGTTCACAAAGGTGTTATCCTCTCTAGATCTTACGCAACAGGAATCCTGACTGCTGTTCTGTCTAGTCCCGTAATTTATCTTGGTATTAACTTCTATCAGATGCTTCAAGGGGTGGAATAACCGTAAGGCAGAGAGGATAAAATCCTCTTTTAACTCTCTGCTGTTTTGGATTCTGTTCTGGAAGAAGAGGGCTGCTATTATTTTTTCTGAAGCCCTCTTAAAATCACGATACCATTCTGATGATCGCATTAGAGATGAGTGTTGTCTGCATAACTGTATGCCACCTACTGGCACTGCATCTCACAGGCTAATTGCTGTTAAAAACAAAGTATTTGTGCTTATTAGTTGGAAATTTGCTACGCTGTGGTGTTATTGAGTATCTCTCACTGTTGTGAGAACTGTTGTGAGATGCTGAAACTGCATCATCAAGTTAGTCTACTGTTAATTATTTTAATAGTATTCACTCATGTTGTTGGTTTGTTGCTGTTTATTTGTTTGGTTTGTTTATTTGTTGTTGCTTTTGTTTTATTTTTTAAGTGTCGTCCTGAAATTCAGGTGCTGCAGACACGCTGGAGGGAACTGTGAGGTTAAAGCAGTTGTATTTTATGAAATTGTTTGGTATGGCGCTTTTCCTTATAAGGTCCAATGACCAGTTGTTTTGATTATTTAGAAGGGAAAAATTCCATGAGAACTGTTACTGAAAATGACTAACTTGGCATTAGTAATCTGTCATTCTCTTACAGCATTTGATGCAACACTGAAGTTAATAAAGATTGCTGAAATATCAGCAGCTGAAGCGCTGAAATATCTGAGCTGAAGCGCTCAGATGTTTTCAAATTCATATTCGTATGTGAACTGCTTATTACATTTTCTGGTAAATCACTAGTAGTATCTGTAAATAAATATGGTCTTTGTTTGTGGTGGTGTGATCTCAACATCCAGGCCTTTGTAAATAAAGAGTAGCCTGGATATCTAAGAGAAAAGTCAAACAGTTGTTTCATAGTGCAGGGTGACCTAAAGGCAGCTCGGAGCTGGAGAGGTTCCTAGGTTTTTCTGTTAGAGAGGTGAAATCTCTGCAGAATGATGGTAGCACTGTGCTGGAGAATCTGCAGGAGCCCAGTGGGATTGTCAGGTCAGGTTGCATGGGGAAGGGATCCTTGACAGAGAGGTGGTGTGGATTTATTTAAGCGGTTTTGTTTCTTTATTTAAGCAAGGGTTGGAAGCTAATAAAAATGCACTAGCAGATAGGCAGCACATATGGGCCCCTTTTGCTTGAAGTTACAGAGAAGTATGAGAGAGACGCTGCTAGGATTTACCTGATTTGAAATGTACATCTACCTTACTCGTGCTTTGGGCATCTCAGTGCTTTGGGAAGAAATGCTTAAGAACAGCCGCCCAAACACATTTCTGCTGTCTGTTAGAGCAGGCTCTTAGAGGATGAGGAATGATCTGCTTTTACCTTCTGTATGTTGAAGTTTACCCTAACAAGCAGAAAGTTGCATGTAAAAATTACTGCGTTTCTTTTACTTCTGTTAGGCTTTTCTAAGTACAGAAACATAGGATTCACTCAAGCAAATAATGGGTAGAATTGTCCCTTTTGTAAACCTTATAACAGAGGTAGTGAGAAAGCTTTTGTGATCAACAGTCTAGACACCCTATTTACTATGGTTTTGTCTACAGTAGGCTGCTACTTTGAACGTGTTAGTTCTTCTCATGGCATCGAGTGTCCGTGCTGAACTGAATTCTGCAGGTTGTGTCAGAAAAAGGCTGCTTGCTGCAGTAAGGGCAGGAAATGCACATTGCAGTCAGTTAGATTCCTCTCTAAGGTGTCTTTGAGTTACTGCCTTATAATATGCTAGTTTGTTCTCTGTACCGTATTTCTTCCCACCTGGCTCTCTACCCATGTCCTTCTTTACTCCAGGACCATCCTGATTAGTGGTAAATGCTTTATATGTGTTGGCACTTACGATAAAGATTATGAAGAGGTTGGTTGTGGTGATTTATTAGTTACGAAGGGTCTACATTGTCTCTGGAATTGTGTGGCCTCTCATTTGTTCATGTCTGACGCTACTCAGATGACAATCATTGCGGGACGTACAGATACAGGCCAGTGCCCACAGAAATGAAAGCCAAAGGGCACACCTGGAGGTGTCCTCAGGGATGAATCAATAAAAAAGGCTGTAATGGATCTGTCAATTGACAAGGAAACATAACGAGGTTCTTGCTCAGTGCCCTCACAAGTTCTTTGGGCTGGGGTTCTGCCCGTGACATTGCCACCAAATCCAGGAGTGACGTATTTATTTTTTTTCCCGGATGGTGCACAGTGCCACAGCAGAGGCTTGAGGCAGCCAGGTAAAAGCCCAGCAGTAAAGGTCAGTAGCCTCACCTATGCCATACTGTCCAGCCTGGCCTGGGCTTGCTGGAAGCACTGACTCATCAGATGCGAGCAATACCCAAGAAACAACCACAGGATCCCGCAGAGACTGGAGGAGGAAGCCGATCCAGTAAGTACTGCATGCCCAATTGCACAATAATTTCACAGTAGGGTTTGAACTACTTTTTCTGGAGTGGAGAGCTCTGGCTCAGGTAGCGGCCTTCCATTTGCAGTTCCACTCGGCAGTTCTCAAACGCAGGTCAGGCATGTCTTTATTTATTAGCCGTGGGTTCCTCACCCACACATACGTGCTCTCACTCCCTGGCCCCCTCCAATCTTCTGTGCTCCAGCTGTGATTCCTACGTGTCTTTGCTTCTCTTATCCTCTCACCTGAAGAATAACAGCTTTACTATTGGTACTCCTTTCCCATCTCAAATTATTTTATGTCGAACACAGTAAATTCCATGCAGCCCTCACTCAGCTCACCTTGCCTAAAATTACCAGCCCTGGTTTGCTGAAGTACTACTTGGAAACTTTATTGTCAGTTTCCTTGTACCTCCTTCTTCTCCTTCCCCTTGTTATCTTTTCCTACCCTCTGTGTAAGAGACCCACCCCATAATGAAGGTCTCTTTGCCACCCAAGTCTCTGCAGCCCATCCCATAGTTCCTTGCCCTGTTTGGGAAGCCTGGAGATCTCTAGAAGGACTGGAGAGGTGGCCCTGCTCTTGATGCTGATCTCAGGAGCTCATGGCTCTCTCTCTGCTTGCGTAGGGAAGCCGGGATGCTGTGGGGAGGGTTCATGGCTACACACAGCAAGGAGCAAATACTTCCCCACTGAGCTAGAGCCGTGGCACAGCTCTCATTCCTGCTCCCTGGAATCTCAGCTTCTCGCCTGGGTGGAAGGAGAGAGGGTTCAGAGACTGGAGGGAAGTGGTTGTTTGGGGCAGGCACAGATGCAGTGGATGGATGATGTTACATGTGACTCTGTGTTTCCCCCTCCTGGCTGCACCCCTCACCTCAGTACTCCTCAGTGTCATCTGTGACAAATCCGCACTGTTGACATGGGATTTATTAGCATTCTCTCTTCGGTACCAGACATCACAAATAGAAGAGTTCTTGATCACACTTCTTGATGCTTGTGCATTTTTCACACTGTGTGGTTTTCTTTTTCCTTCCCCTTCCATCAACCGAAAGAGCATCCCCCTCCTAAATCTGTGTTTAAAGCAGCTCACTTCTTTGCTGTGCCAGGTCCCGGACATGAGTTGCACTTTTCTGCCTCCTCTCTCAGCTGATCTGATCTCCTCTTGTTTCCTCCTCGCTAATCGCAGCCTTCCCCAGCTTTGGTTATGCTGCCCCCCTGCTCCAGACCTTAGTCATGCTCAGAGTGTTTATAAATCCGAATGCAGCCTCAAATATAAAGCCGTGCTGTTGCTGAGCTTTGTTAGCGTGCTCAATCTCTGCTGAGGGCGAAGCACTCAAGGAATTTCAAACTGCTTTGCTTTCCTAAAACTTTATTTAGTGTAGTGGACTTGTGTATATGTAACTACTAGTACAGATTTGTCTTAATTTTGCAGCGTGCTTTACAGTAACTTGTAGGAGCCACAATGAATGTGTGGGGGGGAGGTTTAATACAAATGTTGCAAGGTAAAGGAGTTCCTTTTTTTTTTTTTTCCTTTTTTTTCTTACCCCCTTCCTTCTAGGATGTGCTCACCTAATCGTCCTGGATGATGCTTTTCAATAGGCAGCCTTACAGTGTGTTATCTCAGCTTACCTGTGTCTGTAGAAATGAAGCCCTTCCATCTCCCAGGGAGTGGTATCCTTCAGCATAAGGACAGCTAGTTGCACATGTGTGCAATTACAAATGTAATGCCCACTGTTTTTTTGTTTGTCTGTTTGCTTTTTTTGTTGTTCTTTTTTTTTTGTTTTGTTTTAAATACAACCAAGACCCTTTGTTTTCAAATAACTATCCAACAGAGTCTGACGACTTTGAGTTTGGAAACAGTAGTGAGCCGCTTACTCCATCACGTATGTCCCAGAAAAACCTAAAGCAGCGTATATAGTATGTGGAAGCAATTTGGAAAGCATCTTGCAGTTTTGAACAGAACGTGGTGAAAAGAAATGTTGGGGGAGAAGAATTTGAATGTGGTTGAGGGAGGAAGCTAGTTAGCATTATTAAAGGAGTTTGTAATGAGTGGGGTGTGTAGTAACTTCTTTTATTTTTTTCTGATTTCTCTTAGCACATAAAAAGCTGCAGCCCGTATGAAGAGGGGAATTATTAGCTAAAAGATAGCCGTCAGATTTCAGAAGATAAATGAAAGGTGGATCTGAACCTTGAAATTGTCAGCTCAGCAGGAGATTGCAAAGGCAGAGTGGTGAAAGGAGGGTCTCCTGCAGAACTCCCAAGAAGATTGAAATGGATTGTGGAATTCTGGAAGGGGACAAGAAACGGGCAATACAAAGGTGCTAAACATAAACAGTTATAACACAACACTGGTTATGTGCTTCACCTCTACCTCCAACACCCAGCAATACATAGAGATGTTCCATGTTAAGACCACTTTGTTAGCTGATTTAATTAGAAGTATTTTCTGACAGTATTTGGGATCTTGTGTGTGTCATCTGGAGGAGCACTCCTTGCAGTACCTACTTTGTTTTTAAGGTCTTTTTTTGTTTTCCTTTGAAAAAGCAACATCATCTATATCAGTAAATAAATCCCTTTTCTGAGTACCTGTTTGAAACATGAACTGAATACATGACCAATGTAAAAGTTATCCCTTCACATTTTAAAAATAAAATTAAACTAAAACCTTTATGATTGCAAATTTTTCTCTAATCTACAGCTACTTTCCCACAGCAGGAAAGGAGCTCAAGCATCTCGTTGGAGAGCACATTAGAGGAATGCACTCTCTGGGGCTCACAAAAGAACATCTCCATGTTTCCATCTGCCCTCCAGGATTTTTTTCCCATAATGTGCATGAAATATTGCTGCATACCACGCAGTCATGAGACTGTTTTTATTCCATCCTTTTTGTCACCATCTTCCTTCCACCTTTCTGTTGGCGGTTGTTCAAGGCAAAGTCTTGCATATGTTTTTCTCCCATCACTTAATGTAGGTTTGGAAATCAGGGAGGCATTGTCTAAACTGTGTTGCTTAAAAACAACAACAACAAAAAAAAAACCCTCTGCACTTGTCTTAAACTGTGGAGAACAAACATGACAGATCTTTCATCATAGACCACTCAGTATTAATAGTGGTGAATGCTTACTGTGATCAGCCATGTCTAGCAGAATGTGAAGGAATGTGCTTGTCTTAAGCCTGTGTGTTTTGAGAGGTGGAGACAGAGCAGGGCAACAGGGATGTGTCTCACCACCTGTCTCTGTGCCAGTGAGGAACCCTGTCCCTGTACGTGACCTGCTGTGCATTGACATGACGTGGAACAACTTCCTTGTGCTGCAGGGAGCCTTACTGGCTTGGCTGCCCTGCCAATAATGAGCCAATTATCTAATGATTAATGGTAAAGCTGTTTGGTGGCTATGTGCTGATGGCACTTCATCAGGCTGATAGGAGCTGCCAGATTAGTTTGCTGTTGCTGCAGCTCCAGGGTAGACTTTATATGGACCTGGGGAACTTCTGCCTTTGTTACTTGAAATTTGTAGCTGCTGCCAACCACCTGATTCTAAAATCATACTAACCTGCTTGGCTTCATTTCCTCTCACTGCTTTCAGTGATCTGGGTCTATATTATGGTTTTTTTTTTTTTTTTTTTTTTTAATTATTTACTAATTTGACATCAAATCTCAAAATCCTTATCAATTCACATGTGCCCCCAAAATACACAGCATGACAAACTGAATGTGCTGCTCAGTGCACTGAATGGGAAACAGGAATAAATGCAGAGCTACATCCTTGTCTCATTAACAAGGATGCTCTCTTCACAAAACAGCAGACAAGCACTGTGAATTCTGCATAATCAGAGTAAGCTGGTTGTGTATATGCTAGTGTCATTGCTTAGACAAAGCTAGTATGGAGAGACCAAATCAAACTTACCTTCAGTGCCTGAGCTGGGGGTTCTGAAGGGCTCACTGATGGCAGGTTGCTGTAGGCAACTGACCAATTTGGAGAGAGATCTGCTTTGTTGCTTCAAATTTTCCCTTGTTCTGTGTTGTCTTAAATCACTCACACATACATGATAATTGAGTACTGCTTGAGACATAAAGCAGCAGAACTCATCGTATCTCTCACAATGTGTTATTTTTACCCTAAGCATTTTGCATCTTCAGTTACTCTTCCTTAAGCCTTTTGTGTTTTATCTCATAAGGTTTTGTGATACGATCATCCAACATCAGAGCTATAGCGGTAGTAGCAAGGCCATCTTGACTAAATGTAAGTGACACTTCATTTAATGTAAAGTTACAGTAATCCATGAAGTTATTTTCTTTTCAGATAGAGCAGTGGTTCCTCAATTGTAAGGTATCTTGGAGGATTTGCAGCTTGGAAATTGCACACTCTTTGTTAGTTTTCATCTTTCTTTGGGGCTGGGATAAATGAAGCAGAGGAGTCAGGGCAGACATGATCAAGGTTTTAATTGAAATAGCACCAATAAGTGATACATCTAAGGTTATATTTAAAAAACAAAACAACAACAGAAAAAAAAACGCTAACAAAAAAAAACCTGACAGTGCTAAACCTTCTCACAGTTTTCAGCCCCAGGCAGTGTTGTTCAGGAGAGGGCTTCAGTGTTCTTTGGACTGCTGCATAGTTAACAGTGAACTCAAGATGGGACAAAAGTACAAAAGTACTGGGAAGACCACTTTTCCTCCCAGTTACTTTATTTATGTTTGTTGTGAGTTGTCTATTTGTCCCAAGTGTAAATTTCCTAACCATCATCATAGGTCTTGTGCTATTGCAGCCACTTTATTGTTTATGTGGCACCAAGATTTTTCACACTCTTTCTCCCACAGGTTTGTCCCTCTTATTTGAGCTTGTGTTGGTGAGATGGGTATTGCCTTTTTTCTCCTTCCCACCAGGCAAAAAATTATGCCACAACAGAGGATTTCTCCAAGCCCGAGGGATGAATCAATGATTGGATTTCTGTAGTCCTATGTTTTCTTTCCATGATTTTTTTTTAATAGGCTTTGCTATTTAAAACCTGCCCCTGCCTTTTAGCACCCTGTTAACATCTCCAGCAGGGCCAGCTCCTTTGTGCTGTCTGCCTAGCAGACCTTCAGGTGAAATTACTGAACTCTTCCATGAGTTTTACGTTTTCAGCTTAAATGATGGGCACAGTACAAAGTAGTGTGAGTAGTAGCTGCTTTTTTTTCTGTGCTGTTCCAGTGCTGACTATCCCTCTCTGGCTAAACTGCACAAGATCATAAATAATAAACATGAGTGGAGTTTATCTTTTGTTCACCAATATCCTTGTGAATTCCACCTTGCAGGCCAAGCTCCAGTAACTTTTTTACGTAACAGATAACTGAAACTGTTAAAAATACCATGTGTTATGTTTCAAGGTAGATGACTGTCTCAAGGAGTAAAGCTTTTAACTTTCTATCTTATCTAGTTGTGTTCTGCAGCTTAATTGTGATGTTGAAGTTACACATTCTGGAGTATGCAGGTTTAGAAAAAAGTTCTGAAATGTAAGTATGTAGAACACGGTTTTGGAGGTGGTCCAGGCAGACCTGCAGCAGGCAAACGTGAGATTTCCATCAGTTAATTTTGGTAGAAGCTGTAATTAAGCGTAGAATTGACGGTGACCATGATTGTCCTGGAAGAGTCAGAGTGATGTTTTCAAGAGGGAATGCCCGTAGGTCTTTGCACAGATGAATGACAGATTAGAAGGTGGGATCAAAAGGTAGAAGTGAAAAGAAAATTCTCTATTACAGGTGTTTGTCAGTTACGTTCCACAGAGGTCTGTGCTGTTCCTTGCTTTCATAAATGATATAAGTAAGGGATGAGCAAGTGGATTAGCCTGTTTGCTGTGAAGAAGGGAAGCATCCGTAAAGAACAGTAGGAGGAGATTGAAAGTTCTGAAGACTGAAACAAAATGAAAGATGAAATTCAATATAGATAAATGAGGATAACTGAGGAGCAGATACAAGAGTTTGATCTCAGCATTACCACAGAGGTTTGAGACGTGGGGATGATTCTGAGTCATTGACTCATTGATCACCAAAGCACTACTCAAATGATAGGAGATATTAGGAAAAAGAGAGTAAAAGGGAAAATGTCATTATGAGAGTATATAAATTAGTGAGAACTATTGGTATTGGGTGGGTAGCTGGACTGGATGATCTTGTGGGTTTTTTCCAACCTTGATGATTCTATGGTTCTATGAAATCCATGGTTCAATCGTATCCTGAGTGCTTTGTTCACTTTTGCTACCTTTATCTCAGAATTTATTAGAACTGGGAGAGGCTCAGAGAAGGATAATAGGGATGATGAGATGCATGGGGTTGCTATCAAATGAAGAATTCTTATGGAAACTGGGTTTTTGGGTTGGGAAAGCAATGACAACATCCTGAAAATTTGCAAAATCAGATATCTGCAGAGGAAGGAAGAGGACTGTCCACTACCTTTTAGAACGAGAATATACCAAGCTAAGAGAGAAGACAACTTCTAAGCCTTTGAAAGTAAGAGCATCTCCATAAAATTGGTAGTGGAGAGACATGTGAGATGATATCTCCCACTGTTTAGCACCAGTGCAGTGGATATTAAAAATGGATATGGTTTCTAAGGGGAGACCGAAAAACTGAAATATTGTTTGGAAGGACAACATACTAAAAGTTGCTAAATTAACAGAAATCATGTTCAGGAAGCTCTTGGCATCAAGGTAGTTGGAAGTCAGAGGAGTGTTGGTGGGAGATATCACTGATTCTTTACCTATTTTGGCTATTTCTAGAGACAGAATACTGGAGAAGATGTACCATTAATTTGTCTCACACACTTGACTCTCATGTTAAGAGGTTTGAGTGTCTTGTTTTACTCTTGAGGCAAATTAAAATAACTACTTATGGATATGAATTAATTGTTAATTGTATTAGTGTAGGATCTCACAGATACGCTTTGGATATGTGTTTGTGTTTACTTGTACATATACAGGATTTGCTTTTCATTGGAGTTTATTGTTAGAATGGCATGGTCCTATATGGAGAGGAGGTTGGTTACTACACAAAGTTTGCTTTCATCAGTTTAAGAATGATTGCAGATTGTTCCTGGTACGTTCTAGGGCTGTTCTGTGTGTGTGTGTGTTTTTTTTGGTGTTTTTTTTTTTTTCAATTCTAAAATATATAGAGGCACTTTTACATGTTTTAAACATTCTGAAACTAATTACATCAACATTGTTTGCATCACAGCCTTTCCAGAGTTTTTAGAAAAATGTCTGTGCAGTGTTATGGAAATTCTTAAAGCATATAAAAACCATGAGCATCAGATGGGTTATCTCTAGTCAGTTCTTGCTTTCCTTGATTTATTATATCAGCAGGAATCCTTTGGAATATTTAGTAACCAAAACTGAGCTCTCAAGATTTAAAGTGGACGTGAGTAATTTAAATACAGAGAAATGCTGGGTAGTGCTGTGATAGTTTTTTGTTGTTGTTGTTTTGAAATTACAGACTATTAAGTCATGATAAAATAAACTCATAAACTGGTAAAATCGTGTTTTACTTTTCCAGAAACTCAAGGGAAAAAAAAAAAAGGCAAACACAACAGGATTTTATGTAATACTCTTTCTAGTGTTGCATAGTATAAGAGTGAGTTATTTTCTAAAATTAAAAAGCTGGTTGTTTACATTTCTTGACTGTGGCACAGCTTTTTAGAGTTGCAACAAGTTTTATAATCAAGGAAAAAACTGTTGTAAGTAGCAGTCACATTGAGATAAATACTCATCTTCCTGTAACTGCCATTATTCCAAGCAACTTACGGAGTTTTTCTCTAGAAAGTTTGCTTTATTAAGTTTAAAACAATAATGGATGCATTTCTTAAAAGTGCATATGCCTACAGATGTTTACTGGTGAGATCTGTTTGCTTACTGCTAGAGGAAAAAAATAGGCTGGGACATTTGTTCTCCTTGCTTAACCAACTTTTTCACTAATTTGAAAGGATGTGGATATTTTTCTGTAGTCGATTTTATGCAATTTCAGAAAGTTTCTCTGCTTTGTGAATGTGTTTCAAGGGAAAAAAAAAATCTCAAAACGAATTTGTTAAAGTTCTGAATTGATGAAATATCTCAATTTTTATATTTTCCTGCCTTTTATGTCACGCTCTTTGTAGCATAATCGTTATTGCCTGTATTAGGCGTATGTGGTATTAATGATAGGACAAGGGGGAATGGTTTTAAACTCAAGGAGGGGAGATTTAGATTAGATGTCAGGGAAATTTTTCACTGAGAGGGTGGTGAGGCACTGGCACAGCTGCCCAGTGAAGCTGTGGTGCCCCATCCCTGGAAGCAGTCAAGGCCAGGTGGGATGGGGCCCTGGGCAGCCTGAGCTGGTGCTTGATCTAGCAGTTGGCAATATTCCTTATGGTAGGGCTGTTAGAACTAAGTGATCTTTGAGGTCCCTTCCAACCCAAGCCATTCTGTGATAGGCATCAGCAACGTGCTGTCACTGACGGTAGACTAAGGCGGTTGCCTCATGTTGGTTTCAGTGCTTATGTTAATTTGTTATGTTTTAGCTGTAAGACTGTTTTCCCCCAAGGGTGAAGTCCTGTGCATTATTATTTTAAGTCACTCTTATGTTTATACCCAAGATCACCAGATAGATAGTTTCGTTGTTTTGCCCACATCATTCCATTCCCCTGCAGTAGCTTTCCTCCTGCTGCGTGCTTGGATTTTGTTTTGTCTTCCTGCAGCCTGCGTGTGCTCTTGCTGCCATGGTCGTTCAGCTATCCCTGCACAGAGCAGACTAGAATGTGAATCCAAACTAAAAGATTCTTCTGAAATTGGCTTCCTGATAATAAGGGAAAGCCCTGAATTTCATGATAAGACAAATACAGCCTTGTATTAAAAACAAAACAAAAACTCAAAACATCATTGTTTCTTTTGTGATTAGTTTGTGTATGTACACATGCTTCTCTTACATGAAATGCTTATTTAAAGTTGAGCCAGTGTCTACATCTTTGAACATCTATTTACAGTATCTCTTATCCAAAACTGTAAAAGGCCAAGTGGCCACCCACCTCTCAGTGTCATCTCATCACCCACTGGGGCCTGCATGTGTGTTCCTTGGTCTTCTCATCTCTTTCTTCAGGCTTGTGAGAGAAGATCAACTTAAGAAACCTAGCCAGTTCTCTGCTAGTGCAAGATAACATACCTGTTGGCTCTCTTCCTCTCTCTGCCATCCTGCACAATGGCCGAAGGCAGTGCTCTAGGCTTTGAAATCCGTCCATCCTGCCGTTTGGCAGTGCCGTGTTTATAGACAGTCGTGCCAGGTGTCTTCTTTGCTTAGGGGTGAAACGTGTGTGTACATGTTGTTTGCTGTTCAAATCTCTTCCAAATTACACAATAAAGCAGACAGAAAATTAAATGAAGTATAATCTTCTGGAACTGCAGACATGAGCCTTTCTGGCCTAGGTAGGCACCCTGGTTAAACCAACTTCTGGTTATCTATCTCACAAGAATGAACTGGGGAGAATCAGCATCTTCCTACCCTTTGTCCTTCTAAACACTGGCAGCAAAGGTGAGCAGGCTGTGCTGTTTCCTTTAAGAAGTGACATGCTGTTCAAATGAGTGTGTATCAGATCACCTGCCAAGAACAAATAGTGATGTAGACACCTGCATCTGTCAGAAGACTGATTTTAATTGAATGCTGAGAAAGACACCCCTGAAGTCATCCATTCTTCAGCATCTTTGCCAGTTAAGCATGAATTTTTATTGCAAGCTTGACCATTTTCATTGGTCAACTTTTGCAGCTGAGATCTTCCCATAATGCAAGTTCGCTGTCAGTAGGAGGTATCTCTGGAAGACTCAGGTTGGAGGCCAGACCTTCTGCAGCTATTTTGAGATGTTTCTCCTGCTGCAAAACTGCAACATTTTTCTACAAAGTCAGAGAGACTGACTACCATTTGTCCCACAGTCAGTACAAGCCTGCAGTAGGCATGGTGGTCCTTGATGATTGGGGGGATGCCTAAAGGCTGTAGATTCCAGCATGCTTTTGCCTGCCTCTTTCAGCAACTGTCCTATCAGAGGAGTTGAAAGGAAAAAGGTTTAAATCCAAATCTCTGGAAACTGAACTGACTACTGACAGAGCAAAGAAGATGGGAGCAGGCTAAGTGGTTCTCCTTCTTCGGTTGCCTTAACCCAGTGGTAGATTTGTTCATCTTCAGGAGCCCTGATGACATTTATGCAATTTGGATTGCCCTAGTTGACACACAGACCTGGTGAGGAGTTTTCTCATTCAGTTTTGCTGCACTGAAGTGAAGGTGCTGCCTGTCTGCCAGTTTAGCTCTTCTGTACCAAGGGATGTGGCTACAGTGTTTCTTGAGGCTTCCTCCAGATCTGCTGCCCTTGCTGTCACTGTCTGGTGCTATCACCCTGGCAGCTTGGTGTGCCAGACTGGGTTTCCTCAGTATTTTTGCTTCTCTGTAGCTACTTATTAATCCCCTGATATAAAAAAGACAAAAAATGGCTACTTACACTACAGTAGGTGTGGTTCTTCCATACACATTTTCCACAGGGACACCGAAAGTGATCTTTTGTCCTTTACACTGAAAGAATCTTTACTCCTTGGTGGCAAATCTGAGAGAGGTTGGACAGGGCTATCCTTGATTTTCTCCATTACTACTCTTAGCAGCAGCAGCAGCTCTTGTCTTTCTTGACTGCACATATTCATCCCCCCTCTCATCCCAAACTGAGCTGTCAGTCCATGTTTCAGCTCTCCTGTCCTCACACCGTGCTCCCAGCGAGGCCATCAGCTTCTGCCCATGTACTTCCATCTCACACTAGGTGTAGTAGTGATAAGAACAGCACAGCTGGGGAGTTCTTTCACTTATGCTACTCATGCTAGCAGTCGTGAGGATTCACAGGCCCAGCCTGGAGGTATGTCAGTATCTTCAGAGAACTTGATCCTGTTCGTTAGAGTACATGCTCACCTGGGATCTGCGTGGACACCCTTTAAAGAATCACACCATCCACAGGGTAAATAACCCCTTTTCATTTTGTTTACTTAAAGAAAGATTTAAAACCCAAGATGACTCTGTAGTACCCTTAAATCTTTTATTCTGTCATTATCACAGCTAGTATTTTAGGACCCTTGTTCTGCTTCACAACCATTAATTTTGAGAATTGAAACTCCATGCGCTGTTCTGCACACAAGGCGCAGTGCCCCTTCCTGACAGATGCTGTGTTGTCAACACTGTGCTCACATTATAACCCTATTTTGAAAGAAAACAACCATGACGACGATGATTTCCTTTATTTAAAATAAGAAATGCAAGCTAGGAGGAGGATTATTAGTTGTGTTTGTTTCATGTCTTCATCATCCTTTTAGTTTACATTTTAGTTTACATAATATTGCATTATATTTTAAAGCATTTCTAAGTGCACCTATTTCTTTGGATTCTGAAGGATGACCTGTGAATTTTGGAAAAAAGAATGACTTTATTATCAAAAGCAGGAATAAATTTAGCTTAGTCATGGGGGGGCCTTTTTTTTTTCCTTTGACTCTTTAGATGCTGTTCATTCAAATATAGTCTAACTGGCAATGATCTGGATGCCTTTAAGGTTAGCAAAGTTAAGACCTGACAGATAGCAGAAGATCTGAATAATTCTTAGAATTATAATCTGACAAATTATAGAAGTTCCCACATGGATTTCAGGCATGCACATACAACAGTGCATTTTGCAGTGTGGTGCTTCTCTGCCTCACGTGGACAATAACTTAAACTTTAGTATTGATTAAAAAATTGTTCTTATCTCATCTGATTGAAAGCTTAGCAACTATAGGCAGTTACAAGAAGAATGGTGCATCTTTGTCCAGTATTCTGCATTGGAGATTTTCTAGCACCAGAAGATTCTGAGGAAGATAGTCTGAAAATGAGCATTGTAGTGGACAGCTTTGGCATTCTGTGCATAAGAAAGTCTTTTAGCAGATTGACTGCTGTAGAGTATAGAATTTAAATATATGTATTTTTTTACATTTGTTTCTGTCAAATGTGACAGAATCTCTTCCTCTTTTGTATGTATCTCTCTGAGCTCTTTGAGAAGGCTTTGGTCTTGTAGAAACTGAGATCCCAGCTAATTGTAGCAGGTACAGAATTGCCCACGTCTGGATTCACTGCATTGCAATTGTGCTTTGTTTGTAAGATAATGGATAAGAGTACCTGACTTTCTCCTGCATTCAGTTCAGCATTTCAACTACATTTGGCATTTACCTTCTTTATTTACTTGTTCCAGTTGCTCCAGTTTCACATGCTTTGATAGTCTTCCCATGCCTCTGATGACCTGTCCCTGAAGCCATCTGCTTTTTGCTAGAGCTCCTTCAGATGTGCAAATTCGACACAATAATCGTTTAAGAGTTGAGGGGGCATTGTATTACTGTAGATAGAATTAAAAAAACAAACAAACTGGAAATAGTCTGTAAATACCAATATTGAATGGACTAAGTCCCTTTGGACATAGTTCATTAAATTTTTATGTCTGTCTGAAATGCTGTCTGCTTATTACGAACTACTGTAGCAGAAACTTTTGGATAATGAAGCTCTTCTGCTGTACAGAGTGGGAGACATTGAGGTAGGCATCATAGGGTAACTAGCTTATAATGGTCTTGCTGGGAGACTGCACAAGGAGTCATCAGCATTTTCTCCCCAGAACGAAGTGGTTTTGATGAGAGTTGTGTCTGTGCACTTTCTTGTTAGTTAAAAACAAAGCTTTCGATTTGGGTTTGAGTACTGAACCTGTTTCTACCCCCTACCTGCATGTAAAAAAGCCCCAGGTAAACTCCTGTTTAGGCTGCCAGAAAGCCTTGGTGGGTTACTGTAAAGCACTTTCACCTTTGATAGGTTTTCAAACACACTGGTTCTCTCACATCCATAGTTACCAGCAGAAGAAGTTGGGGTGGTGCAAAGCTGAACTTGGAACCCAAAAAGAAAACTGTAGTGGAGAGAATGGAAAATGGGACAGGAAAATTGTACAGGGGGCAATGTTGCGTGAAGCCATAGCTCCTACCAGATACCTCCAGCCTGATATAACACCAAGTGTATGTGTGCTATATGGAGCTTTTCTCTGGCATACTTAGATGAGTTGGAGGGAGTAAGCCTATCCCTTAGAATGAAGTGCTGAGCGTGTTTCCATTATATTCCTGTATCATCCAGGAGGCCTTCTAGCAGGAAAAGGGAGATGTACTGCAATTTCATAAAAGGGTAGAGGCAGGAAAAAGGGAGATGTAAGGGAAATTCCAGGAAGTCCCTCTGGATTTGCTCAGGCACACCTAGACTTGCCCTCTATTGGGATTTACCTGTAGCATGTACATCATTAAGATGCTTTATTATTTTTTTAAATTAATTTTATTTTCCTTTGCAGGTCACCTTTTAAGCTGCTATTTCCTGTATAATTAAGCAGAATGAAGGCATTAGGTTCTAGTAGAGTTGGGCCTAATCCAGAAATCTTCTCTTATTCAGTCTTTTCTAAGTAAGAAACTCAATTCTGGGCCCAGTATTTTACATGCTTTGCTGTTATTTCTAAATTATTTGTGGTCTGTGGATTTTTTGTTTTTAACTTTATTGAAAACTTCTTTGCTTTTGTCTTATTTTATTTCTTTGTATTACTGTCCAGCATAGCGTTAGTTGAAATGATGTAAGTATACTGGAAATTGAAGTGCATAATTGCTACTGATAATGCAAGAGCAATTGATTCATACAGTTTATAATTAACAGTACATAATGTTCAGTGCATGGATCGGTTCTGTCCCTGTTAACTTTTCCTTTCTGATTCTTTCCAACTCCCAGTCTTGCCACATTCCAGCCTTTCTGAATATCCTGATTTAGCTGGAGTCTAGTCCATTCTTCCTTTTCTTTTTCAGACCAGTAAAAATGGGAAGTACTGGATTCTGGTTTCCTCCAAGAAGAGTCAGCGGAACTGGTTAAGACCAAAATCTGAGGACTTTAGTGGGCAAACATCAGGTGTGCATTGAACAGAAGCTACTTTATTCCTGCTTTAAGTATATGCTTCTTTAAAAATAGCATTACATATGAGCTTTCATGTAATTTGTCTGTTATATTTGATACTGCATATAATCATTCATCCTGCAGTTGTGAAAGCACCAATAAGAATGAGGATTTTAAGTGATAATTATGTTGAGACACAAACAGGCAATATTACTCATAAAATTCTTTCAGCTGGTCTTTGGAAAGTGTAATATTTGAGGATCAGTGGTTTTTTTAAGTTGTATCTCCATTGCTCAGTCTATATATCCACAAGAAAAAAAAAAAGATGATTATTTACTATTCAGGAATCAATACTGAAGTTCTTGATTGCCTCATCTGTTGAGAAACAGCACTGAGATAAAGAGTGTTTACATGTGTTTTTTTTTTTTTAATAAAACACTGTCATTGCCAAAGATTGAATCCATACTATATTTGTTCTAATAATGCATTGTTAAGGACACTTAAATGCAGTTCAAAATCAGCTTAATTAGTTTTGATCATAGAGAAACAAAACTTGAATTCTTCATTCACACAAATGTGCTGATTACATCTGGTACAGCAACTAAGTTACCCAAGGTTTTGGAGAAGATGGAAGTAACGTAATATTGGCCTGAATATAGGATGGCCTCAAGCCTGGGTGTGATCCTTGCAGTTAGAACAGGAGTGAGAAGTTGTCAGTGCTGTTTACATTAAGAGTTAAACTTCTTATGCTGTTCTACAACAAGCATGCTTTGCATCAGAATCAGACCCTGCGTATCGCCCTTTGCATGACCTAATAATATCCTGAGTCTCTCCAGCTTGATGTGTTTTCATCTCCCCCCCACTTGCCCCTCAGCATTATCAGATTATTCCATTGTCTTGTCCTTGGATGTTCCTATCCATGTGCAGTGCTCCCCACAACTGTCAGTACCCCATGCCTCAAAATTTTGTCCACTCTCTCCACTTTTCACCCAACAGCTAACCTTGCCTGCATCCCACCAGTCCTGCCTGCTTTTTCCCTTGTCACCTGTTGAGCACGGAGGCCACCTGCTGCTTTGTTTCAGCATGTTCAAATTAATCATGCTCCCTTACAGCAAGCAATAGAGGATGTTCCCTTTAGCATTTGCACTAATGCTGCCTGCCCTTCTCAGGCTGGATGGGGATTTTGCAAACGGGTGGTGGCCCATTTCAAGGCAGCAGATGCTTCAGGACACTCCTGGAGATGCTGCTGTGCAGTGGAGCCATGTAGGTGCCCACAGGATGTGAAAACACTATATACAAGCATAGAGTGTGCTGGTATCTTTTTCTTCCCCAGAACTTCATTTGTCAGGAGGACTAGATGATCTCCAGAGGTGTCTTCCAGCCCCTACAATTCTGTGATTCTGTGAAAATGGCTAGAACAAGTTTCATTCTATCTTCAGGCCAATGTACATAGAAGACCAGTGTGTTTGTTTACAGGAAGGCACAATAAATTATGTTACCAGATCATAATTAAAGTGTACATTGAAAAATCTTTCCATCTACAAATTCATCATGTGAATGAGATTCTCTTCTTAATTACATTAGCAGCTCCATTGAAGTCTTTGGAATTGGTCTTCATTTACTCTTGATGCAGAAATACTTTGATTTCAAGTCTCCAAACAACTCTTCAATTTTTTTTTCTCTCATAAGCTAGAAAATCGCTTATGAGACAGAAACTGAAATTAAGCTGATTCTTTGAAGACTTCTGCACATTCCCAGTCATGGAATTGTTGTCCCTAGGCTTCATCCCATGAGTGAGAATGAGTCAGAGGCAAATCTGAAATAAGAGTCCTTACAGAAACACCTTTACTGTTGCTGGGTGTCTTTAAAGAAGTTAGTGGTTCCATGTCAATCTGGGGGGAGGAAATGTGGTCTTACAAAACCTCTTGCTTTAGGAGTGTGGTACAGCTTAATCTGCTGTTCAAAGACTATAGGGTTGAAAGGTAGCAAATTTCCATCTTGGTCTGCCAGTGTTTCTTTCCTTTTACAAAGACAAGGGAGAAGTTATGGGAAGGAGGGAGGAAGAGGCATAGACAAAGATGTTACTCTATATATATGTGTTTCAAATGGAAATCTCAAATCTGAGGCATTCATAAAAATACACATGCAGATATTAAAAAGGCACGTTCCCTTCTTCTCTACCTCCCTGCTGACACAGCCCTCCTGTCCTGTCACAGCCTGAGGAAAACACAGGCCTTCCTTCCTCGCTTTCTTCCAGCACGGCGCTGGGCTGTGGCAGGGGCTTTGGAGCTTACCAGGCCTCCCCTGCTGCCGGCTGCGATGAGTTTGCTTTGCTCATTGGGGAGGTGGCACGACGCCGGAGCAGCTGCTGCCTGGTGCTCCCTGCCTGACTCCTGGCTGCTCTGCTCCACCTGTCCCAGCAGCTGCCGGCTTCCCTGGCCCTGCTGCAAGCGGGCATGGGGACAGCCGGCCACCAAGCCTCAGCCTCTGCCCACAGCCTTGCTGCCGTCCGGCCCAGCCCAGCCTGCTCTTGCGCAGCTGTGCTGGTGGAGGCCGGGCTGGATGGCAGCTGCAGGGCTGTGACACCAGGGCGGGGGGAATTGTCAGTGTTGTGGGAGAAAGGCCTAATGTGGGGCTTTTCAGCCCTGCCCGCTGTTTGCATTGAGTGTAGCCCTCCTGCCGCCCTCCTCTCTGTCCATGATGCCGCAGACCTCGCATTTGGCCCTTCCCACCATGGATAGAGCTGGGTTGAGTATCTAAAGTAGCAGTTGTGCTCTGATGATTCTGTTAGTGACTTCTGACAGTGGAGGATTGTTGAGTGCCCTGTAGTCACAGGCACCGAGTTGCTACCATACGTTACCAGATTGTGAATTTAAAGTCATCCTTGCCAACAGATCAGATGTGAGCATCACACACCTCCTGTAGCCAAAGGCTGCTGGTTTCATTCACAGTTTGCAGTGCATCAGGAGGGGCTAGGTTCCTCCTGAAGGTCTGAGAGCCTTCATCCCAAGCTAACCTCAACCTCCACACTTATGCCCTACCCTTGTGCCTTGCAGGGTAGTTTGAGGAAAATGCAGGTTTCCCATGCTGGGCTGATAAAAAGCCTAATCCATGAAGTTTGTTAGTGAGACATCACAGCTCTGTTAGCAGAGGAGAATTTCACTTGGCATTGGAAATGATTGTAAATGTTTGCATTTTGCTAGAAAAGACATGCAAACAGTAACCAAAATTAGCCGATATACCAAAGAGTGTGAGCTTCGCACCCCCCCCCCAACCCCAAACTGCCAAAAAGCTGCTTTTCATGTAGATTTTCAAACTCCCAGTTGCATTTCAAGATGTACAGATTTTCATTTTGATAACCGTGTATGTGCATGTGTGCGTGCATGTGTGTGTATGTCTGTACAAACACCACAGGCACAACTTTAATTCCTTTGAAACCTGAAGCTGCCAAAAGCTTTCTTCATATGTTCTGAAGTGAGTTCTTTGTCTGATGCCTCCTGAAACCTGACAAACTTTGCTGTTCTCCATCAATGCCTGAGGGGAAGGTTGTGAGGTGTAATTTCAGGGCATATGTGGATCTGTTCATCCTGAGCAATGCATTATAAGAGTTGCAGCAAATAGTGTAAAGAAACCTACAGGTATTACATTAGACCAGCTGAACCTAATTTTATTTTTAACTTTTATTCAGAAGCATCACATAGCAAGTAAACTTCAGAATTTAAGTTTAGTTACAAACTAGTTGTTTCTTATTTTTTTTTTCCAGTCCCCTTTTGCTTTCTTTTACGACCACATGAAACTTGAGAAGCCATCTAAAGCTAAATCATTTAGTGGAGTTGGGCAATTCCCAAGTGTCCAACAAGAAGGCCTGGTTTAGGCTGCGATGGCCACTGTCATTCCTGGTGATTTGTCAGAAGTAAGAGATACCCAGAAAGTCCCTTCAGGGAAACGTAAGCGTGGTGAAACCAAACCAAGAAAAAACTTTCCTTGCCAACTGTGTGACAAGGCCTTTAACAGTGTTGAGAAATTAAAGGTTCACTCATACTCTCACACAGGAGAGAGGCCCTACAAGTGCACACAACAAGACTGCACCAAGGCCTTTGTTTCTAAGTACAAATTACTAAGGTATTAAACTCTATTTATCTTTCAGATTATATTATCTATTTTATGTTGGCTGTGTTAAGCCGTGTAAAAGTATATATTTGTGTACGCCTTCAGCTGATTGCAGAGAGGATGTGTTAATTAAAAGTAGCCATTGGATTGTTTCTAGAAATCTAAATTACATAAGTTTGCAAGCTATTGTCTTTGATTTTGTTTCTTAATTTGTTTTCTGTTTTTGTTTTCTGTTTGTTTGTTTTCTTAATGAGAATAGAATTTGCATTTGTATAAGGAATTGTCACAAGAAAAGAGTATGGACTGAAAATTTTTGGCTATGGACTTTTACACAAGTACTTTCATACTTGCCCATATACCCCTGTTACAGTAGCTAAAACCCACCAAAACTAAAGTGTCGATTTAAGAGAAATGGCTCGTGTTTTGCTATATTTTAATTTGTCAAACTGTCTTTGTAGTGTCATGCTTTCAGTTAAAAGGTTCTGTTGAAAAGCAACCTTAGTGTAGTATTTAGCTGCCATTAAAAAAATGAGCACGTGTGTTTTTTGATCAAAATAATTACTTACAGAATATATCTGTGTTTAAAGGCATATGGCTACTCATTCTCCTGAGAAAACCCACAAGTGTAATTATTGTGAGAAAATGTTTCACCGAAAAGATCACCTAAAGAATCACCTACATACACACAATCCCAACAAAGAGGCCTTTAAGTGTGAAGAATGTGGAAAGAACTACAATACCAAGCTTGGGTTCAAACGTCACCTGGCTTTGCATGCTGCAACAAGCGGTGACCTCACCTGTAAGGTATGTTTGCAGACTTTTGAAAGCACAGGAGTGCTGCTGGAGCACCTAAAAACTCATGCAGGCAAGTCATCGGGTGGAGTGAAGGAGAAAAAACACCAGTGTGAACACTGTGATCGTCGGTTCTACACCCGAAAGGATGTCCGTAGACACATGGTAGTGCACACTGGAAGAAAGGACTTCCTCTGTCAGTACTGTGCACAGAGATTTGGGCGGAAGGATCACCTAACGCGCCACATGAAGAAAAGTCACAACCAAGAACTTTTGAAGGTCAAAACAGAGCCAATGGACCTTCTAGATCCCTTTACCTGCAACGTTTCTGTGCCTATCAAGGATGAGCTGCTTCCAGTGATGTCGTTACCTTCCAGTGAACTGACATCAAAGCCATTTACAAACACTTTGCAATTAAATCTCTACAACACTCAGATTCAGTCCATGCAGAGTTCTGCATCCGCACACCAAATGGTTGCCACATCATTACCATTGGGGATGCCTTGTCCAATAGATATGGAGTCTGTCCACCCTTCGCACCAGCTATCGTTGAAATATCCGCTCAGTTCTACCTCATATGCAGTTTCTATGCCTGAAAAAGAACAGCCTTTGAAAGGGGAAATCGAAAGTTACTTAATGGAGTTGCAAAGTGGTATGCCTTCTTCATCCCAGGATTCTCAAGCATCTTCATCAAAACTAGGGCTGGATCCACAAGTAGGGCCACTAGATGATGGGTCTGGGGAGGTTTCCCTTTCCAAGGGCTCCGTTCCTATTAGTGAACCTCTAAACACCCCGTCATTGGACTTTTCTCAGCTGTTCAACTTCATACCCGTCAATGGCCCTCCCTATAATCCTTCTGTTTCGGTGGGAAACCTTGGAATGAGTTACACGCAGGAGGAGGCACATTCTTCTATGACTCAACTTCCACCACAGACACAGGATCCACAAGATCCTAGCAATAGTATAGGTCTTGGGTCTCTGCACTCATTGTCAGCAGCTTTCACGAGCAGTCTAAGCACAACCACCACCCTACCACGATTTCATCAAGCTTTCCAATAGGATGTACAAAGCTGGCTTGTTACTGTCTATTTGTAGAAATGCCTTAGGTGACCATTTTTAACTTAGTGCCTACTATAAGACATTATCAGTTCTCTGCTTTTGTACAGTACCAATCTCATGAAGCCAGTAAGAAATTTAAATTAACTTTTTAAAAATGTTTTGAAAGTGTTTATTCTCAGCTGTGTTTACTTCATTGTTTTTGTTTTTGTTTTTGTTTTTTTAAAGTCTCATTGTATTGTTTTCATTTTCACTGCCAATTGACCCATTTAAAATGTCCACTAGAAAGTCATCCCAAGCAAACTTTCAACACGCATCCCTTTTAAAACCTTTTCAACCTTACAGCCACTCTGTTCTATTGATGTGGTGGAGCTACCATTTTTACCTTTTATATATTACAGCATTTGCAAAGGATCCATTTCAAACGTGTATCACAAAGGTTCCTGAAGATCAGGGAAAAATTTTCTCCGGTCCCTTTCCAAAAAAAAAACCCTCTTCCCAAATGGTGACATCTGATCTGTTCTATAATGACAAATTTTAATTTTTAAATGAAGATAGAATTCAGATTTTTCTGAAAATTTGGATGTGTATATGTAGAAGTCCATATATACACATGTACATATATATAACATTTTGACTTATATTGAAGTCATTATAAAAGGTGTTAAGAATTTTGCCATTTTCTGGCTTAAATTTTTGTGGCTTGTTATAAATATTGGAAGAAAAAGAATACAGTTTAATTTTCTAAAACCGTGGCTGAACAGAACTTCAACAGAGAATCTCTGCTTGCCTAACTGACAAAAGTTTCAAGTTGAATTTGGAACTGTGTTGTGCTTTCATGACTCTGGTAGAGGAAAACAGGCAAATTTAATGGCTGATCTTGAAATATAAAAGTGTTGTAATTTAGTAATGCAGAATATTTTGTCGCAGTTTTTGTTTTAATTCTTAACTTGCTGGGTTTTTTTACCTTTAGTAGCATAGAAAGAGTACTGCATAGGAATCTTCCAGTAGCGTACTGACTTTTGTAGGCATCGGTCTTCTCCCAGCTGCCACCACCAAAGGGTGGATCAAGTCCAGCCAGAAAGTGTGTATCTATTTTAACTTCAATATTAGTGTGCAGTCAGAGAGTGAATGTAAATTTACAAATACCATTTTTTTGGGTTGTTTTTTTTTTGTTTTTTTTTATTGGAATGAACTTTTCAGTTGTGTTACATGGTGTGTTATGTCCTCCTAAGCAACAAGTTAGATGTTAATCATACTTTCTACACCTGGGTACTTGGTTAGGGACTTTTTGCCCACTGCCAAGATTTAAAGACAGGACTCTTAGGAGTGAAGTAAAAGCATATTGCTTACACCACTTTTGCCTAATGCAATATTTTCTATTCCCCAACCCCTAATAACCAAAAGAGGAAAAAAAGAAAAAAAAACAAAAAACAAAAAACAAAAACAAACCTGTGATGCATGAAAGCAAACTCGAGTTGCTGTAATTCAACAATAACACGCTTTTCCTTGTCATTTTTGTACGAGGAATTAAAATAGAAATTGAGTACATTAGTATCTCTCAAACAATAATGAGGATTCATACGAGGTTTTAAGTGGTTAAACTAAATATACTTCACAGAAACAAAAGTTGCTCCCATTTAAGGAGCTCATGCTCCAGATGTTTTATCAGTAGCTCCTACTTTTTTTTTTTAATTCTAGGAGCAATATGCAGGTGTAGTTTTACTATTTTATACATATATGTATTTAAATTTTATTACTGAAAGATAACATTTTTATAAATGTGTTTGTGTTCCAAAGGCATTAAAATAAGGATGTATTAATAAGGAAAATACCTTTTGAAATTCTACAAATTGCTCCTAGATTTTGGGTTTAGGAGCTTGTTATCTCAAAGTGGGCTTTTAGCTCTGCTTCATGACTGCTTCCTCTGGTTTCTATGAAACAGATCGCTTGCTTACTTACATCTTTAGTTGAATGATTTGTTCAATATTGCTTTTTTTTTTTTTTTTCTCATCATTTTTATAAAGGAAAGAAAAACACAGGTGAACAGAGCACAAGGTGAATGCCACAGAATGTATTTCTGGTTAAAACTCAGCAACCACAATGCACGTAGGGACAACTTGGCTTTCTTCTGAGTCTTTTCAGACAATTTGGGATGCAGAGCAGCGGCCTCCCTTGCTCCTGTGAGCTCTGTTCCACGTGAAGCAGAGCCCAGCCTCTCCCTGTGAGCAGAGAGATGCTCTGCTCGGCTCTGGCAGCGGCTGTGGAATGGATGGGCCGCTCTCTTCTTCCTGACAGTGATGCACACGGGCCCTGGGAGCTTCAGCTCTGTGAGCAGTTTTTGGATGGCCTGGAGGGAGTTCTTTGCTCGAGCGTCACAAATGAGTTCAGTTTCCTCTGCCGCTGCCAGATAGTTGGCCAGATGCTCGCTGAGGGGAGTCGATGTGGCACATCTGACACTCAGTGCAGGGCAGTGCCACCTCTTATCAGTCCCAGCCGCTGATCAGACTCGATGACAAAAACCCAACAAACACTCGGTCAACACCCAGTTCTTAGTACTTAGCCGGAGTCCTTACTCCTTGGTTAGTGCCTTAGCTTCCTGAGAAGGGCTTGACATTTCACTTCAGAGGTAGACATACATTTCAGTGGAGGAGCAGGGACCTCAGACAAGGTATTGAACCTCATTCAGTCAGGGCTGCAGCCGGCGGCTGCGCTCGGCCTGTGCCGCTGAGCTAGGATGCAGGACGGTGCGGAAGCAGATATGACACTGTAAGCAATATTAACACATTAGTGCTTTTGGATATTATTTAGGCAGAGTCAGTATTGGCAACTACTAAAACGTCATTTTTTAAACCCTATTTTCTAGGTTTCAAATTGGTTCTTTGAGGGAGGGGGGAGGGCTGGCTGATCGTGCACCACTCTTTGTGCAACTTCGAAACTTCTAGTGAGGTTTGTTGGTTTCTGTTTTGTTTTGTTTTGTTTGTTCTGTTTTGTTGGTTTTTTTTTTTAATATATATATTTTTGTGTACTTGTTGCTTGTGCTTAATTTAGTAGTAAATTGTGGAATAGAGTGATTTATTGTTAATTTGGCAGTAGCGGTTTTTTAAAACCATATACTGACTGAAACATGAGCCAGAGCTGATTGCTTTATTAAGCTAATAATGAATGTTAAGAGTACATATTTTCAGGATCATTTGCCTAGTGAGCTAAACATGTATTATAGGCCAATATTTTTTAAAATAAAGCTTGGTCAACCTCTATGTTACACATATTACAAGATATAGCACTTTCAAAAGAAAACCTAAACCTTTTAAGAAAGTTTCTTACAGGTTATGCTTTTTATTATAAAACCTTTTATTATAATTTGTTTCAAGTGCCATTAGATTACATATATGTAGGCCTTTGGTATAATGCTTTGTGTACAAAATGGTAGACATTGTAATTTTAAACAGGTACATTTTTACAGTGTTTTCTTATCAATTTGCTATATTGCACAGAACCAGTGTGTCTTTCTTAAGGGTTTTACAATGGTTTTTACTAGGTTTACATGTTTCAAACTACACTGTCTTCTACTGCCATTTTGAATACCAGTCAAAAAAAAAAAAAGAAAAAAAAAAAAAAAAAAAAGAAAAGAAAAAGAAAGAGTTTGTCCTCACCAATTGTAAATTGTGTCCTCTGGAGTTCTGGGTGGTAACCATTGCAAAAATATTTAACACGCAGTATTTGATGCAGATTTTTTTATCATATGCTCTCAACGCTATGCTGCTGTCTGAAGTTAACTTAGGGCCTGATCCTGCATCCGTAGACGTCAAGGGGAGCAGGGCTGCATCCTTCGTTATGTCTGTCTCATACACTGGTTTAGCAGCTCATCCTGTATTCTTCTCAGTCTATAGATAAGCCTCCGAAATAAATGTACTTACCTGGTATGTAGTAAACTGTATAGACTTAGCTGCCCATTCTGCATCATCCCAGTGTACAATTAAAACCATAGGCATTAGCATTACACTCAGCGTACAAACAATGCCACAGTAGTTCAAAATGTGTTTGGATAGTCCCAAAGCTTTATGTAATAAGGGTGTCTTACTTTGTTGGAAGGCAGTGTCTTTTGATAACAGTTATCTAGCCCTGGAAGTGACACAGAACTATTGCTAATCATATGTAAACACTTTTCAGTATAAGCTTCAGTGGTACAGTTGAACCAGAGTGAATGTTTATCTCCTCAGAAACACTCCTGCAATATTGTTATATTGGATCATGCTGCTAATGTAACTTGGGATACAACTCCTCTCATGGTGCTACAAACCTCCCTGTCTCATTCAGATGTATTTTTACCCATAGAAAAAAGGACTATACTAGACCTATAGTTGTATGATATATTTTTATACTGTGACTTAATTTGTCATTAATGAACTTTGTACAACACCACAATGTATTCATATGCACTTGCAGAAGTAAAATGTTGGACATGCAAATTTAAACGCTGACAAGCCCAGCTCTTGTTCACAAAAATAGATGATTTAGTTAAAATTAAATGTGGGCTTTTTATATGGTGTGGAGTGAAGAACATGCTATATATTACTAAAAGCTTCTGAATTTAGACAAAAACTGGGAAAGAGTATATTGGGGAATGATGACACACCCAAACCTGACTCGGATTGCTGAAATTCTATTTTTTAGATAGTGGGAAAATTGTTTGGACTCGAATGCTAAAATCTTTCAATGATAAAATTTTTGAGTCAAAAATAGAGAAAAAAGAACACAGAAAACCCTGCATTCCAGACAGAATTTGTGTATGTTTCTTGCATTTAAAAATTTGCTATCCTGTGATATGGGAAATTGAGTTGCTTATCATGTATATGTACTTTAAAATGTATTCACAAACTACTGTTGTATTTGTATAAAATATAGACAAAAAGATTGCGTATATATTTTTGTGTATAAGCTCTGTAAAATAGCAATCACATTATGAAGCTGCAGCAGAACTTCATTTTAAACATTCACATCCAAAGAAACAGACTATTTATTGTCCACATACCCTGATTATAAAATATACCTTGCTGCTATTAAACAATAGTGCTGCAGCTTCTTGTGGCCTACAGTGTTATGTTTGCTGTACAAAAATATGTGAACTCCACAAAATATATCAATAAAATTACAGAATGGTTTTAGTTAATGAATAACTTATGCCTGGCATTTCAATAGATAATCTCGGTCTGCATGCTTGGGATGACAATAAGTAATTTTACATGCATCCAGTTTTGCTGGGTGTAGTTACTCTGATTTTGCAAAGGTGTGACTCCTTCTGACTGATGACTGGTAAAATGTCAGTTTTTCAGAAAATCTAGCACGCATAAGTTTCTGCGTTTCATGATTTTACCAAGGAACAGATTGGATGATGCTGCTGTGTCTGTGACAAGACAGATTCTAACCGAAGAAAGCAGTTGCATTTGCCATCAAACTGCCCTTTGAAATGCTGTGGAGAGCTGGAAGGTGAGTTTGGGGGTCTCATGTGGGAGAAATGGGTGAGTGATTCGCTCCATCCCTTCAGATGAATGCAAGTAATTTATCTTTATTGTTATAGTTTGTAGGAGAAACTGTGAGACTGTGGCATGTGTTACAGGCACAGTGTGTGGGTTGCCTCTCTGATACGCTTCCAGGAGAAACTTCACTGTTTTGATATCACACACCTCCTGTCTGCCCGTGACATTGCAGAGGAAACCTTGCTGACAGATCTGACTGATGCACTGAGCCAAGAGGTACCGCGGAACCAGCAGCCTACCCACAATTGCAGAAAGTTGCAGAAAGTGTCTTTTCCCCATATAGCCGTTTCCCCAGAATGAACTGTTTTCCAGGAAAGTAAAAGACTTAACATTTGCTGTGAAACTGCTTTGAAGTCACATTTTATTGCTCTTCAAAATATATATTTCTAACGCCCTGCTCTTCCAATTCTTTCATTTTTAGATTTTTTCCTGTTCACCAGTCTAAAAGAAAGGATCTTTCCAGAGTCATTGACTGTGTCATACAGACACTTTTGCTTTCTTGTGAGTCCCAGCTGTTTCCTCTGAACTGACTTATCACTTCTGTGTCACAGGTTTCTAACTGAGTTGGCCGTGGTGTGGTAAGAGTCAACAGCTCTACCAATGGAGGAAGAGGCAGTTCCTGTCTTCAACTGCTTCTTGTCCAAATTTGCCTGAAAGGTATAGAAGGAAGGTGAAGACATAAACTGTAGTGCAGCACTGAACTGTCTGAGATTCTGCAAAGCCCCCATCGCTCCCCTGAGAGAACTCCTTCCTGTCTCACTCTGGTAGATGGTGTCATCCACCATAACAGCATTAAGATGTTCTCCTTCCAAACTGATCCCCTCTGTGACAAGTGGGAGGTGGTTGCATGGATGGAATCTGTGTTACATTCAGACATCTCTTTGCAAGATTGCTCCAGAGCTTTCTCTGTTAAATTCTGGAGCGTCTCCCAAGACTTGAAGGAGTTGGGTGTGAGGTTGAAAATCCTCAACATGACAAGAACCTCTGTTCTTATGCCTCATATAAACTGGCACATCTTCAACAGGGAAGGGAATTTTTCTGAATTCCTTTCAAAATTTTCTTATTTCTTAAAAGAGAGAGTAAATTCTTTCTTCTGTATTAACTAAATGGGTAAAAAGCCCAGGTGTCCCGTCTCAATTTCTGGAAGGCTAGAGCTAGGCAAAAAGGCAGAAGTTCAGGGTTTTATCAGTATACTGAGGGGCTTTCAAGCTCAATGAATTCTTTTTCACATCTTGCATCTTCCTTTGGCAAGAAAAGAAATTATGCTTTGTTAAAAGAAACATTCGGAAAAATGATTGGAGCTGTACAAAACCACAGCCATTCATCCCTTCCTTCTCTCTGCTGTAGCCGTCCCTGTCCAAAACATCTGTAAGAACATACAGAAAAATGGTCCCTCAATATCATCTGTATATCTGGTCTCTCTGCCCTGCAGGAATAGAAGAAAAAGATTATGCTTTCTCCCTTTGCTCTCCCTTTTTTCCTTCCTATTAGTAAGTGTGCCCTAACATACAGAATGTCTGGGGCTTTTTTGACAGAGAAATCAAAAACCTGTGACCCAGAGCTTCTGTCAGGTTTGCAAGAACTGAGCAGCTACATACTGTTGGCTTCCCTCCTTTGCAAATTAAAACATGTATTGCACCGGATCGAAATGCAGGTTTGTGGAGTGGCAGTTGCTGTAGCTGGCACAGCAATGGCTTGAGATCCCAAACAGGCAACAAGCAAGATAAGCTGGATTACAAAATTTAGTGTGTGCTTACAAGTTTGGGAAACATAATAGAGGATTAACTACTGCTTATCATTACTGGCTAGTGCCCCTGGCAAGTAGACAGCAATGTCTTACTTCCATTTTTTGAACAACAGTGGAGATAGTGATGTTGGAAAAGACAGACCACAGTCGTGTGAAATAACAAGTTCCTGGTCACGTGTTATATTCCAGGTATTTCAACATAAACATTCTCAACTAATAATAAGCACAGTGTGTAACATCTTGCCCAGTATTTTTTTATATACTTGCTTGTTGCAGTGACCCACATGTCTTCAAGGAATCAATCTTTTCTGATTAGTAAGTATTTTAAAAATGTAATTAATAGTTGTGTTTTTCCATGCCGTTGCCGTCCCACAACTTTGTCTCTTTCAGGGATGTTTGTGTCATAAAATCACCAGCTGCAAACCTCGTTTGCCACCCGGTGCACCAAGGATACATCAGCTAACAGCAGAACGCTGTGGATTCAGGACTGTAATGTATGCTATGATTGGTTTGAAATTCATTTGAATTGGGAGTTTGCCCATGGCACTGCTTTTCACTGTTGCACTGTACAAAGAAGAATGGTGCAGTGTAATTTCGTATAAATCACTCGGTGGGTGTAAAATAATGCAGAGTACCAAAATAGTGACAGTTGCTGAAAATCAGTATATTGCCTACATTTTTTTGTGTGTGTGTGTATATATATATATACAAAAGTGTGTGCGTGTATTGTGTGTATTTATGTGTACATGTATGCATGCATGGGGAAACCTGGAAAAGTTGAGAAATACATTTTGATTCACTTCAAAAAATGTAAGCATGGAACTTCAGTGTTTTTCAAGCCCAAAGTGAATCACGCAGTTGGTAGAGGTATCTCCCATTAAACACAGTGCTTGGTTTCCCAGACATATTGGAAGAGTTTCTTCCAATTACTCGATTTATCTACGAGAGGCAGCAGTTTATCTGCAGGGTGCACAGCCTGCTGTGAGGAAGGTGTTTGTCAGCTATGCCTGTGAAGCATCAGATAGAAATTCAGTAGAAGAGTTCTGTGGGCTGTGCCTTTGAGTTTAAGCTCTGGCTTATTGCCTTTATTATTAAATGGTTGCACACGTGGTCATGGGTACATACTTAAGTTCTTTCAGAAGTACTTACACTGAAAATGAAAATAGAATATACATTGTGTATGACTAAGGGGACATAAGATAAAGGAGCAACCTTCAAACTCTAACACAGGAGCAGGAATTATCTAACACTGAGGACAAGTAAGCATAGACTAACTTGCCAAACTCACTGAAATCTGTCCCGCTGTGGCCTAGTGATCATCACGGTAACGGAGCTGAGTGTAATCAGTGCTCAGGCATTTTGTGAGATGCTGGGATCCACTGCCCCTTCCACGTACCACCTGCAACAGCAAGGGTTCAGTCCCAAGCACCAGTATTACATCTGCTGTGCCTGGGAAAGCAGCTGTCACGTAGCACTAACATTGTCCCTTAGGTCCTTTGCTGCGTGCGATTCACGTTGCTCATTGAGCACAGAAGCCATTTCCTAGTCCCCAAGTTACAACTCTCAAATTCCACCATTGCTCTTTGTTATCTTCCCACAACCCAGCAAAGCTGTTTGTTAGCAGTGCTACAGGGGCAGGACTGCAAAAGCACTCTTGGACAACGTGGCTGGAAGCATTGCATGACGTGCCTTGCCTTATGACAGCAGTAATCCCACAGGGGAAGGCACCCATATCTGTGTCACCTGAAAGTGTTCTGTGGTCCGGAGTTTCACCTTTGTCATCCTCACACCTGAACTTAGACCATCTCAGCTTGTCTCAAGGTGGTCTTTCGCAACTGTGATATTAACCCACAACAGTAGGTTCCCAGTTGTTATCCCTGGTCCATCTGTGGTCAGAGGGGCCACAGTGAATGGGCTATGAAACTCCCCTGCTTTGCTTCAGGTGCCTCCAGGTAACACCTCAGAGCATTGCAGCAGAGAGAGCCTCTGCTTGGTGCTTTGAAACCTTTCTGGGATGAAAATAAAAAATATCAAGCAACTGTCTGGCAGTGTGTGTGTTTGAAACTTGATCTTATTATTTATAAACGAGGATTTAATCTTTTAAAATGGTTATTACTATGGCTCTATCCTAAAGAAGTGCTGTAAGATCACATCACAACACCCACAGATGCACTTGTTGGCATTTAGATTTGCCTCTCAGCACATTAATGAAAACTTGTCTGCATTTGCTACTACAAGGTGTCATTTGCAAAGTAACCAAACTCTAAAATACAAACTGTATTCACTTCTGGCTCGTCCTGGCAGTTAAATAAACAGTTGATTGTGGCCTATCCTCAGAGCAGGCTGTATGTATAGACTGGCTTCAAATGATGATATCGCTTACGCCTGCACAATTGATTTTATCAGAACTGCGCTCATGCAATTCAGAATACCGTTAGAGGCCTGTGAGGTGTGATTGGAAGCAGCACTTGCACTGTGAAAAAAGTGAGAAGGAATGTAAGTTCATCTTCAAACCCGAAAGTGAGATCACAGAGACTGTCAGCAAGTGGAAAAAAAAGAAAGCTTTGATTTAGAAAGGGTAAAGAAACCTCAGAAGTCACAAAGACAGGCTAAGGAGCCATGTTGTTTTCAGAGCAGAATAAGTACTTAGGAGATAAATGTAGGAATTCAATAGAAACACAGTGCTACCTTAATACTGGAAAGCACTTTTTAGAAGCCACTGAACACTCAGGCCTAACAGGGGTTGGTGCATTTTTCACTGAGCAGATGTGCAAATAATAAAGTAATGGTCATGGAGAAGAATTTAACTATATGCTTTAAGAACAAAGGGGACAGACTCTGCAGCAGGGACTGTAGTGATAGCACAATGGGAAATGGGAAAGACAGAATGAAGAGAGATTTAGACTGGATATAAGGGAAAAGTTTGTTACAATAAGGGTGGTCAGGCACTGGAATAAGTTGACCAGAGAGGTGGTGGGTGCCCCATCCCTAGAAACATTCCAGGTCAAGGTGGATGGGGCTCTGAGCAGCTTGATGCAGCTGTAGGTGTCCCTGTTCATTGCAGGGGAATTGGACCAGATGACCTTTAAAGGTCTCTTCCAATTCAAACAGTCCTATGGTTCTATGAAACTCTGAGATAGTACTGACCCTTAGTTCTATCCTTTTTATGGTTTAGACAAAAATGTGGCTGTAAGCAAGCATGAGAGCAGTGTGTCTTGATGAAACGCAAACTCCTCTTTACAAGGAAGGACATGGGCATTTGGTACGTACCTGCTGTGGTGTGCTGCACCTGTATCAGTGTTAGACTGCAGCCTTTGGTATCAGAGTTGTCCTCTGTTTTGCAAATCTATGAACAGTGGTAGTAACTAACACTACTGGCACATGGAGTTCTTGGACTACTGCTGAGATACCCATGGGTGATGCTGTGTTCCTCAGTTTGAAGCATGGCTGAAGCTGAGAAGCCGCTGCAGCATGAGAAGTACATTTTATTGTAGAAGTGTGGCACAGAAGCCTGGAATGTCAGGATCCTGCCACAAGTTATTGGCACTGCCACATACTGCAGCCCTTAGGGCACAGGCTGCACGCTTTGCTCTTGTTCAAGGCCTTTGACATGGTCCCCCACCACATGTGGATTTGATGGGGGGGGCCACTTGAGGATAAGAAATTGGTTGAAAGGCCGCAGACAGAGGGTGGTCATCAATGGCTCTATGTCCAGGTGGAGGCTGGTAATGAGCGGCATCCCCCAGGGTCTGTCTTGGGACTGGTGCTCTTCAACATTTTTATCAGTGACATCGATGATGGAATCAAGTGCACCCTCAGCAAGTTTGCTGACGACACCAAGCTGAGTGGTGCGGTTGACACGCTGGAAGGAAGGGATGCCATTCAGAGGGACCTCAGCAGGCTGGAAAGGTGGGCCTGGGTGAACCTGATGAGGTTCAACACAGCGAAGTGCAGAGTTTTGCACTTGGGCTGGAGGAATCCCAGGCATCCATACTGACTGGAAGGAGCGGTCCTTGAGAGCAGCCCTGCAGAGAAGGACCTGGGAATCTTGATGGATGAAAAGCTTAACATGAGCCAGCAGTGTGCTCTTGTGGCTCAGAAGGCAAATGGTATCCTGGGCTCCATCAGAAGAGGGGTGGCCAGCAGGGACAGGGAGGTGATTGTCCCCATCTACTCTGTTCTTGTGAGGCCCCATCTGGAGTACTGTGTCCAGGTCTGGAGCCCCCAGTACAGAAAAGACAGGGAGCTGTTGGAGAGGGTCCAGAGGAGAGCCACAGAGATGATCAGGGGACTGGAGCACCTCCCCTATGAGGACAGGCTGAGGGAGCTGGGCTTCTTCAGCCTAGAGAAAAGAAGGCTGCGGGGTGACCTCATTGCAGCCTTTCAGTACCTGAAGGGAGCCTACAAACAGGAGGGGAATCAACTCTTTGAAAGGGTTGATAACCGAAGGACAAGGGGAGATGGTTTTAAGTTGAGGGAGGGAAGATTTAGGTTGGATGTCAGGGGGAAATTCTTTACAGAGAGAGTGGTGAGGTGCTGGAACAGGCTGCCCAGAGAGGCTGTGGATGCCCCCATACCTGGAGGTGTTCAAGGCCAGGTTGGATGGGGCCCTGAGCAGCCTGGTCTGGTATTAAATGTGGAGGTTGGTGGCCCTGCCTGTGGCAGGGGGTTGGAGATTCATGATCCTTGAGGTCCCTTCCAACCCTGGCCGTTCTGTGATTCTGTGATTCTGTTACTTCTAAAAGTTCATATTACATGTTTGTTCTTACTGACACTTACAGCAGCCAAAGCTCAAGACATGCTGAAGTTCCCTGCTGGTAAGGACTGGTTCACACAGCTTGCTTTTTCCTTATGTTGCTGCAGAAATATCAGCAACATGGCAACAGCATGTCTGAAGGCCTCCCTGGGTGCCCAGTATGGGTACGCTTGGGGAAGGCATTGGGATGAGGGAGGCAGCCAGCCCAGCATCCTTCTTCTGGGCAGGGACAGTGGAGCTGAACGTGGCTGGGAGGTAAGGTGAAGCTGAACGTGGCAAGGGTGTCCTGCAGTGTCTGTGTCTCAAGAGAAGAAACTGGGCCGTGTTGAGAGCACAAGAAAATATGTTCTGTAAAAGATAAACGCCTGGTTGGTTTCAAATTGGCTCTAACTGCATTTACAACAAAAATAATTGGATGTCCCCCTGCTCCAGCCCTCAGCAGTTGCCTTGAGACAAGTCAGCTACAGTCAGTCTGCTTCAGCCCCAAAGTACGCCCCTCTTCCTGTTCAAGAGGTTCAGTGTGTTCCCAAAGAGTAATACATTCTTGCCACGAGAGGAGAAAAACAGAAAGGTTTTCAGCAGAAAAGGAAAATTACTGAAAAAAGACATGGAGTTAAAAATAAAAAATAAAAAACAATGGAAAGTCTGCCATATTATTCTGAATGAGACTGCAGGCAAAGAAATTTGGGAAAAGTCCTAACACTAACCCTCTGGTTTTTGTTACGGTGTTCTGCAACATTCAACATCTCATAGAATTATCCTGCAATTCCTGAGCAGCTCATAGACTTTTTGCCCACACCTGGCAGCACTCCACTGACTCCTCTCTCTCACCCAAGCTTCCCTGTTAAGCTTCTCTGTGACCTTAATGCTGGAGAAAAGGTTGCAATGTGTGTACTTTTTCCATGAGATAGGTGAAGTTCTTGGAGAATTTATAGCAGAGATCACTTCTCTGCTGTATTTATGTACTATATGTCACATAAGACCGTGCCAGAGTTAGAGCCTCTACGGCTGTTGCAAAATAAACCTTAAGAAGTCATTTCCGTCTCCAGTATAGGTGGATTTGCTTATCACAGCTTTTTGTTATCATCACAGCTCACTTACTGAGAATGCATTTCTTGTGAAGATTTTTAAGTGGAGCCATCGTGCAGGCATACAACCCCAGCACTGCTGGGACCTGCTGTCTGCGCTGGTTGCTTTGCAGCATATTTAAAACTGCAATGAGGCTCCTTGTTGGTGTCCTCCACTGCCCCCAAGTGTCCCAGCACAGCTGATGTCAGAGCAGAGCCCTGTTCCTGTGAGACCCTCTTGCATCCCCAGCTCTCCGACCTCTACCTTGATAACAACTCCCACCACACGTTAGCACCTATTTATCTAAATCTCCCTTAGCTGATCTGTTTCACATCACTGGGTGATAACCCAGGTTTTCTGTTCTCATTCATCTCACGTTGACATCCAGATGAAGGACCTGAAGGATAAGGAGGTGGGAAATGGAAACCAAACTTTCAATTGATTTGTTTGCAAGTATGGAAAGATACTTGCTAGAATGTTCAAAAGCATTTAGCTGTACAAAATGAAACCCTGTGCATAATGCTCATTGCTATAGCCAACGCACAATATGTGATGCTCATCAGCCAGTCCTTTTGCTACTGTTAGGCTTACCTAACCACCCAGGAAGGGCAGACTTCAGCAGCCAAACCCCTCCTATCACACACGAGTTGCGGGTCCCCTTAAACTCACTTTTAAATTTAGTTATGCCTGCCATAGGCTTACCAAATGCTAATGGTTACTATCTCAGCTGTGTCCTCTGAGAAAATGCATCTAACAGTTACCATTGTTCTCTATAGCCCCAGCAAAATGCACTCAATTTATTTACTGCCAGGCCCTTTTGCTAGAGGCATTCATGGAGCAAAGTATCTTTCTCATCTCTTGTGATTAAAAATCATGCAAAATACACGTGAACGAATACATTTTAGTTTAAAATCCATATACCTTTACTTTCTAGAGATTTACTTAAGGGTGAAAAAAAATGTTCTCAGGTGCACCTGATTATAGGGTGAGCTCATTGAGACAGATGCGGATCATTAGGGGTGGGAGGGTAAAGTTGTGCAGAGAGAATAAAAGAGCTTTTGGAAGACACCATGAAGAAGCTTTTTAGTCTACTGTCCTAGTAACTTTTTCTGGCATCTTATTATGCCATCACCTATTCCTTTTAATAGCTTTTTTCCTTTGGAGCTCTCCCCATCTGCAGACTTGAGACCTTGCAGCAGCCCTGTAGTTATTCCTGGCAAAGATGGAAAAACCTTCCTAGAAGGGACCCCCTCACCCAGGACCCGCCGCCTGCCTCCGCGCTTGGCCTGGTGCTCCATTGACTGGGATCAGCTCTGCCTCCTGCAGCCCCTGGGATCTGGGGGTTTTGGGGCTGTCTACAAGGCCACCTACCATGGTGTGACTGTGGCTGTGAAGCAGGTGAAGAAGAGCAGCAAAAATCGGCTGGCATCCCGACAGAGTTTCTGGGCTGAGCTGAACGTAGCCCGACTGCAGCATGACAATGTGGTACGTGTGGTGGCTGCCAGCACGTGTGCTCCTGCCAGCCAGAACAGCCTGGGCACCATCATCATGGAATACGTTGGCAACATCACCCTGCACCATGTCATCTATGGCACTAGAGATGTGTGGAGGCAGGGCGAGGAGGAGGAAGGAGGATGTGGGAGGAAGGCTCTGAGCATGGAGGAGGCTGTGTGCTACTCATGTGACATAGTGACTGGCTTAGCCTTCCTTCACTCACAGGGCATCGTGCACCTCGACCTGAAGCCTGCCAATATCCTCATCACTGAGCATGGAGTGTGCAAGATCGGAGACTTCGGCTGCTCCCAGAGACTGGAGGAAGGCTTGCTCCAGAGCCACCATGTTTGTCAGCAAGGGGGCACGTACACCCACCGTGCTCCTGAGCTCCTCAAGGGCGAGAAGGTGACTGCCAAAGCAGACATCTACTCCTTTGCCATCACCCTCTGGCAGATTGTCATGCGGGAGCAGCCTTACCTGGGCGAACGGCAATACGTGCTCTATGCAGTGGTAGCCTACAACTTACGCCCTTCTCTGGAGGCCACCATCTTCCAGGAGTCACCGGTGGGACAAAGGCTTCAGAGAATCATCAGCTGCTGCTGGAAGGCTGATGTAGAGGAGCGCCTCAGTGCAGTCCAGCTGCTCCCCAGCCTCAGGGCCCTGAAGGGGAACCTCTAGGGGAACTCAAGGTTACTCTCAACTTCTTTCCCTCCGCTTTTCCTTCGAAAGTAATGACTGTAGCCTCTTTGACTTTTGATATTTTTATATTTAAAAAAAGATGTTTTGTTATAAGAAAATAAATAAAGACATTGAATGAATTTGTTTTTTGAACTACAGAGGGGATAGAGAGGCAAGGAGCAAGGTTTTGGTGATAATAGTCTTTTTGGTTTTTGTTTTTTAATGGTTACTTTTTAGTTGATTTCTGGTGTGCTGTGCTGCCTCACTAAGAGGAAAAACTGGGGACAAAGAAAAATCATTTTCAAGTACAAAAGAGTGCTGTTTCTGGATAGCATTTTGTATATAACATTCTCTGGTATTTCCAAGTTTGAGACACGTGTAGTTCTTTAGATTAACTAGGCCTGGGCATTTGAGATTTTCATAGACTAATACAGAGCACCAGTGTTTTTTGTTGTCTATTCCTGTTCTTAGATGTAAATAAACTGTTTCTGAAGTGGAAAATGTAAAATGCCTTATCTCCCTGTTGAAAGGAGGGACCTTATTACATTTAATAGCCTCTCTTTAACAAGAAGATGGAAAAGAACAGCTTGCAAGTTTCCAGTCTTTCCATACTACCAGGTGTTTGTTGGAACTCACTGGCTGGTATATTGTAAACTGCAGTATCTGAAGTATTAAAGAGCATCTCGTGTGGAACAGAAAGTTCCTAGAGCTTGGAGATAGAGTAAATTTAAAAAATATATATGTATATGAACTGACAGGGAGATGCACAGGTGCAGAAACCTCAAACTGGGGAAGGAGTGCAAGAAATTACTCTCTCTTCTTAATACGTGGGTCAGTACCAGATAAGATACCAAAGAGATTGTAAAGGAAGATTGCTTAAAGCAGTAATAATAATACTTTGCTAGTGCTTAAAATGTATGTTTTTGAACAAACCTCTGCTCATGAATGCACTGTTTCTTATCTAATGTCTTTCCTAATCTGGTTGTAATGTGTCTGGGAGAGGAACTGCTCTAGGCAATGTTAGAGACAGAGCTCCAGTTTTTCACTTATCAAAACCAATCATTATAGATCTGTCTAGATCTCAGCCCTTATCTGGAACTATAAAGATCTGGCTGCTGTAGCTGATACTGTCATTCTCAAGAGCTATACTTTATAAGAAAGTAAGAGTGAAGTTTTGGTCCAGTTGTTTTTCTTTCCTCCCCCTTTCTTCCATTCTGGGGGGGAAAAAAATCCCAAAGGCATTGAGCCATTTTCCTGGTTTCTGACATGCATCTGTTCACAGCCCTGTGAAATCCTGGAAATGAGCAACTATGTATATTTGAGATGATTCTATAGGTCTTTATGGTGTTTGGGTTGTTCCTTGAAATCCATGCTTTATAAAGCAGAGCTAAGCTTAACTCTCTTTCTTTCCTGTTCCTCCTAAGTAGAACTATAAAATGCCTGCTGGAACTGAGAAAATGTTGTAATTTTGTTTGTTTTCCCAGTCAAAATAATTATGCTATAAAACCAGAACTTGTTTTACATGTTGTATAACTTTTCTTGATTATAAACAGTAACTATCTTACAGGAGTTGTTATAATGAGCCAGTTCCTTTTTACAATGATTAGCTAAGGGCGCATAAAATAAACTGTCAGATAAAGCCATTGGTGCCTCTCACATTAACTTCAAGCTGTAGTGGATTCTTTCAGGGTAGAGTAAGAACTCTGCACGCTACTTAATATTTAGGTACATTGTAATGAGCTGTCATAACAATGTTGTTTTTTTTTTTTAATAAAGGGCTTTTCCCAGAAAGAATAAAGATCTGTCAGAGCATGTAGAGCTGGGTTTAAAGAAGTGAAAGCCCATCTCAGATTGAGTCTGGTGAGGGTTGTGAAGAGCAACAGGAAGGTTTCTACAGGTACATCAACAGTAAAAGGAACAGTAAGTTGAATCTGGGCCCACTGATTAATGGGGCAAGGGAGCTGGTGACAAAAAATTAAAAAAGGGAAAAAAAAAAAAACGGGGGGGCCGCCGCCCGCAACACTGGGAGAAGGACAAGGTATTCATCTATTGTTTCTTCACTTCAGCTTTTAATGCAAAGACCTGCACTAAGGAATCTTGGGCACCATTGAGACCAAAGGGAAATATGGAGCAAGGATGACTTGGTATAGGAAGGAACAGGTTAGGAACATTCAGGCAAACACATCATACACAAGTTCATGGGCCTTGATTGAGTGTATGTACATATCCCAAGGGATCTAGCTGATGTCGTGGTTAGGACAGTCCAGTCTTGAAAGGCTGCGGCAAGTGAGGGGGGCTCTGCCAGACTCACAGAAAGCAATGTCACTGCTATCTGCAGATCATCAAAAATGAGTGCCTAGCAAACTACAAGACAGTTCACTTCACATCACTCCCCCAAGTAAATGGTGAAACAACTGATCCTGGAAATGATTCCAAGCATGTGAAGAACAATAAAGTAATTGGGTGTAGTTAGCATGGATTTACAAAGTCCAGCTGGAGGTCAGTCACCAGTGGTGTACCCTGAATGTTAATACTGGGGATAGTATAGTTTAAAATCTCTATTGATAATGTGGATGACTGGACAGTGAGTACCATCAGCAAATTTGCAGGTGATACTGAATTGGTTGGAGTGGTTGATACAGCAGATGGGTTGTGATGCTATTTAGTGGGACCTTGCCAGGCTGGAGAAATCCATTGATGGGGATCAGTGAAGGGAAATGTAAAATCCAGTAACTGAGGAAGAAGAGACCGAGACACCATTACAGGCTCAGGGCTGACTGTCCAGGAAACAGCTGTGCAGGAAAGGACCCAGAGTTTCAGACACCAAATTGAACATGAACTAGCAATGCGCCCTTGTGGCAAAGGAGGCCAACAGCATCTTGGGCTGCACTGCGAAAGGCATCTCGAGTTCCTCCAGAGCATCAACAGATGAGATTATTCTGCCCCCACCGCACCAGGCTGCCCAGGGCCTCATCCAACCTGGCCTTGGGCACCTCCAGGGATGGAGTGCCACAGCTTCTCTATGGGCCTGTGCCAGTGACTCTCTGAGTAAGGAATTGCTTCATGACATCTAATTTAAATCTCCCCTCTTGTACTTTAAAACCAGTTCCCATTGTCCTTTTACTATATGCCCAAGTAAAAATTTGATCTTCTTCCTGTTTAGAATCTCCTTTTAAGTACTGCAAAGATACAGTGAGATCTCCTTGGAGCCTCCAGACTGAACAAGCCCAGCTCCCTCAGCCTGTCTTCTTAGGAGAAGTGCTTCACTGCTGTTCCTCTTCATGGTCCTCCTCTGAACCTGCTGCAACAGCTCCACAACCTTCTTGTGCTGGGGGCTCCAGGCCTGGAGGCAGCACTCCCTGTGGAGCCTCACAATGGAGGGTAGAGAGGGACAATCATCCCATCGAGTCCAACTGCTTGCTTCACACAGGATCACTGGAAATTCAAACTGTGCTCATGGTTGTAAGTCAGCGTAAGTGTTAAGGGCACCTCATCCCTAATTTATCTTCTGCATTTCTGAAGCTGATTGCCAGCAGCTGATGAACCTAAACATGGGTTCTCTTAAAGGCCTGGAGAACGTGCTACAACCAGATAATTGCAGTTTATCAACATCTGTCTGTATCTGCTGAGCATGATATACTTATGATATACCAGTGCTGATGATCCTTCCACTTCCAGTGTGGGAGGCAAAGGTCAAAGAAGGTAGGAGAATTTTTTTCTATTTTATCACTGCCTTTGATGGAAGGAGGGTGCTGATAACAGTGTTTGACGTGACGCAAAACATAAAAAGGAACATCAGTTTTTTAATCTGTGGTCTACATGCCTCAGCAGGGTATATATGAAGACATAAGGAGCTTGAAAGGCTGAACAAGCGTTCTTGTCCTGATCAGCTCAGTAGGGTCTTGCGAATTTGGAAGTATGGGGCCCACTATTGCACAGATTCAGATAATGCAGCATCACTGGTGCTGCAGTGTATCAGTGGGCTCTGCCATCTGCCAGCCAGTGTGCTCTGTTCAGTGTAAGAGTGATACTAGGAGTGGGCCAGACCTTCTCCAGTGAAAGTGGCCAAATCATCTGGGCTGTGCTTTTCAGAAGGAACAGAGCCTCATTTGTCCCAGTTGGTAAATGCCAGATCTCTCATGTCTTACCATCAACTCAGTTCCTTAGTTTGATATAGTTATTTTTCTTGGAGGCTGAAATATTCTTATGTTTATTTAACAGCATAACTTTTGGCACAGCAAAGTGCCATTTCTGGGATCCCGGGATTGCTGTGCCATGCCACAGTGGCTATCTTCTTACTGTGAGCTCTTTTTGTTATGTTCCCGGTTCGTAAGCGGGACCCCAGCACAAGCTACCTTTCTGGCTTCCAGCTCTGCAGCATTGAGTTAACTAGTCCAAACCAATTGGGTTAGCTGCTGTCTCATAGCAGTCCTGGGTAGCCACAGTCTGCATGGAAACTTCAGCTAGTTCCCATCAACACCCTAGTGCCTAACTACCACATCTGGCTGCCTTTACTATTTCAGACACCTCCTATTAAAAAGGACACTGTGAAATGCTTGCATTATCTTGCTCAGTCACCAACAGCAGTAGCTTTGGACATGTTAATCACATCAGAGTGTTACATTTTATGCTTCCTTGATTATACAGATAATATTGTCTACTATGGGAAAGCATGAACTAGAAGTTTTAACTCTAGCCTCTTTTTTTTTTTTTTTCAGTAGTAAATGGCATCCAGTCCTTTCCATCAGATTTGCGCACTCAGCACTGGTGAGGCCACACTTTGAGTACTATGTTCAGTTTTGGGCCCCTCTGTACAAGAAAGAAATTGAGGCCCTGGAGCACGTCCAGAGAAGGGCAAGGAAGCTGTGAGGGATCTGGAGCACAAGTCTTATAAGAAACAGCTCAGGGAACTGGGGCAGTTTAGTGTGAAGAGAAGGAAGCCCAGGAGGGGCCTTGTAGCTCTTTAGCATGACTTGAAAGGAGGTTGTGGTGAGGTGGGGATCAGCCTCTTTAGCTTGGTAACAGCAACAGGATGAGAGAAAATAGCCTCAAGTTGCACCAGGAAAGGTACAGGCTGGATATTAGGAAATGTTTCTTCACAGAAAGAGTGCTGAGGCATTGCAACAGGCTGCCCAGGGAGTGGAGTCACCGTCCCTGAAGGCGTTCAAGAAACATGGAGATGTGGCACTGAGGGATGTGGTTAGTGGGCATGGTGGGGATGGGCTGGTGGTTGGATCAGATGTTCTGCTTAGTGGTCTTTTCCAACTTGTATGATTCTATGATTCCATAATTTCATCTAAACATCCAATTTGAACTTAATCTTCACAGAGTACTGAACTGGTTTTAGATCAAAATTAAATACTTTTGTCCATGATGGCAAGCAACTTCCATGTGCTCTCTTGAGCTCTGAGAATCTCTAAGATCTGACGTTTTCTTTAGCAGTCAAATTTAAAAAGGCAAGAAAAATGGGTGAAAGCATGGGTAGCATGCAATTGTAATGAACAATTTCTAGGAAGAATAAGAAAATAAATAGGATGGAAGTAGCATTTTATTTCTTAATTTGTTTTGTTTTGTTTTTGTCTTGCAGGAGGGAGCTGGGAGCATTGCTGTTAAGCACATTTACTAATTAAGCAGCAATTGTTATTTATTTCACTTTTACATAGCTTGTGGCTTCCCATCAGTGGAGTGCCCCTGATAGCCTGCTTCTGGCTTATTGTGTTGTTTGCTCCTCTCTCCTTGGAGGCTTCTTCTGAAGTTCTGAATCTTTATGAGGTGAACTGCATTGCATATCACTTATCAGAGAACTCAAATGCAAACTATTTCAGCAATCACAATCCAGTTTCTTTAAACTTTCTATTTTTACCTTCTATGATTATAATATAAACGCAAGCATCTGGTTTTATTCTCTGCAGCAAAGAAAATGAAAAAACTGTTTTACAGAGCACCCCAAATATTTGTAAATTCAGTAAGGCTTAAGTGGATGCTTCAGATTTGACTTGTCTATCATATTTTTTTCCCACTACTCTTACCTATGTTTACAAATTCCTCCTATGGAGCTAGGACAAAAACAGTGGTAGAAAATGACTATTTTTAAATATTAACTATACTTTGAATATTTTACTTATACTTTATTTTAGCCATTCATCTGCTAGAAATATCTTACACAGTGTTCAAAGAGCCTCTTTCTGTGCTTCAGTTAGCCCAGCTGCCAAATATTTGTCTGCCTGTCAAAAGAGCAGCCTTAAAACCAGTTAAAGAAAGAAAACGGGAACAACAACAACAACAAAAAGCCTTCTGGCTTCCGTCCCAGTATGCCATCAGCTCAGGATGCCTTGGGACAATTTGATAGCAGAGGCACCATTGGACCTGGAGTTCCCAGTGCACGGGGCTGAGCTGCCGTGCTCCCTACCCAGACTGAAGTTCAATAGCCCAAGTGTTCGGCAGAGCAGGGAGGTGACTGCATTTGCCTTTGCAGGGCACCTGGGATAATAGGGTAATTCATAACTTAATAAATATTCTACTGCATATGTGCCAGGCTACAAAGAGTGAAGTAGGCTGAATATTGGAAATGTAAATGTCCCTCTCTTTTTAAGTTACTCCCCCCAAAAGGGGCGGAAGGAACGGCAGTTTTATTTTCAAGCCATGCGTTGTTTTCAGCCACTTCAAAAATGGTGAAAGGCTTTTGATTCACATGCCACCGGTGAAACTGGCCCCAGAGACAAGTACGGAAAGCTGCACCTTAACAGGGGTATTAAAACAGCTGAGTGTAAATATGGCAGT